TGGCGATGGATCATACAATGAATAACTTCAATATTTGGGTTATTTTTTTTACGAAAGCCAAAAAACTATTAATATGGCCCAGCATAGCTGGAGCTCCATCCAAAGATACTGAAATATAGTTTTCCCATTTTAAACTTTGCGCATTAAAGTATTCATTTACTTTATTGTAGACATCAATTCCACGAGATCTTAACTCGAGAGGAGAACAAAACAGCAATTCCTCTTCAAAATTATCTGCACCTTTGTAGCGAACATATACCATTAGCTGTGAATTGTTACTAAAATCAGTTGTCTCATCAAGCCGAATAGCAAAATATTTGGCCTGTTTTAATGAGAAAATAACTTGTTCCTTCACATTTTTTGCTAATATAGAAATTCGTTCTTTCACAATTCTCGCAGACAAGGGCACTGAATTCAGTTTGTTCGCTTCTTTTTGACCACACATCAAATCATTGGTTTAACCAAATCTTCACCAATAGTGTATGGTTTCTTATTTCGAGCAATCAACCAGGCTACTTCAAAGCTAGCCCTTGATGCTGAACGCTGATCAAATATACCAAACAATTTGCTATTCAATCTTTGTCTATTAACAGATATTTCTAAATTTGCAAAGTATTCTCGCGAATTGGAAGACAGGTGTGAATGCAAATTATCTAAATGTTTCTTCAGTTGACTTTTTTTTGAAAGATTCTGAAGTCAATACCTTCATACATACAACACACTGTGGTTTCATTGTACCATTGTCTTCCATTTATGTAAAACCGTAATTAAGGAATTCGTCTTGATATTTTCTTTTTCTATTTGCTGCCATTTGAAGGAGACAGAAAATAATAGTTGTAAAATACTTAAGTTAAATTTTCAAATTGCGGCTTACCTTGATCGATATATGATCGGAGCTGTGCTTTACTGAGCAAAGATATAACTCGAGAACACTCTACTGATGGGGAGTGCAGTGGCGCACCCAGGGGGGTTTTGGAGTTTAAAAAAATTCCTCCCAGGGCATATAAAAAATTTACAAAGGATAGTGGGAAAATGTAATTTATCTTTCACAAATAATACAAAAAAATTTCGGTGCATGCAAAACCGGTTTATAAAAAATCAAATTAAAATATATACTTCTTACTCACAAGTTTCATTTTTACCCCCAAAATTTCATTTTTACCCCATTTACCCCGGTTCCCCGACCGCTGCTTTATATCGATTTGTTAAGTAAGAAACTAGCCTCAGCCTGCTATGCAATAAGATTTTGAAGGAAGTCTATTAAAATTCAAATGTATTAATCCTACTAGAAGTGCAATATTCTTTATATTGTCGTCCCTCTTCCAATGTGTTTCACCCTCTCCATACATCATCGTTATTTTTTCCTACAAAGGTCTGTTTCAAAATTCCTCTACCTCTCTTCAAATTTACGTGTTTCTCACCGAATGTCTTCATTTCTCCATCTCCATACAAATGTCTTTGTTTTATCTCTTCAATATCCAAAGTGTTTCTTACACATGCACACTAATTTTTTTACTTATTCTGGATATCATTTTTATATTGTACCCTCATATTTAGTTTTGCCTTTTAAAACCACATCATCATCAAATTTCTATCGTTAATCTGCTCACAACTATGCCTGAACTTCAGGGTATTTTCACATATTTTAATCTTATTTTCACTTTTGCACCCCGTACTCTTCATTCTCCCCTACGAAATCTACCTTTTCTTTAGATATGTATCTAATTGCATTTTTACTCCAAATATAAATATTCCTACCATATTAGGAGGGCAAATAACCTTTAAAATCAACTCTATAATTACTTGACAAGCAAATATTGGTTTTAAAAGGATACTAAATTACCCGAAAATGTAACTACTGCTCTTTTAAAACTCAAAATGGCTAATTTTGTTGCAATTGTTGTTACTTCCCACTCCAATGACAACAATCCGATCATCCCAGAAAACAAGCTAGATTTGACGAGATATTACAAATAAATGATGTCATCAGTGTTTTTAAAATCAATAATTAAAAAATAAGTGAAATAAATAAAATGGTATGAAGAAAAAGCAATGATAACCTGTAAATTATGTAACCAGTAGACAAAAATAAACTGGTGTCTAGACCAGTGGTTCTCAACCTTTTTGTGGCGACGGAACACTTTTAATTATCGAAAAAAATTGCGGAACATAAAGCAATAACATGCATATATTGATAAACAAATTAGGATTAGCACATAAATTCTGTAATAAACTTTATTATACGTACTCAAATTTGTAAAATTTTACTTAAAATATGAAAACAAAAAACATTTTTAAAATTAACAAAAGCGAAATTCTCAAAATGCATCATATGAGTAAATACTTCAAATTAGTGAGACACTTGTGCCTGGTGTCGTTTGCAAATTTGCTCAATATCAGGCCTGACGTCGGAAAGAGCTACTCTCATTTCTTGTTCTAAGTTTAGCAGCCTTTCCCGTTTTTTATTTTTAATGTTTGTTAAAGATGAGAACCCAAATTCACATAAATAGGACGTTGAAAACTGTATTAAAATACTAATCGCTTTTTTGGCAAGAAGTGGATATTCCTCTTGGACCAAGATCCAAAATTCCTGAACATTCACTTCTGAAAACCTAATTTTCAGAGTACGATCAGATGACAACGAAATAAATTCTTCTTCTTGGTTCAGAGAAAACTGGAAATTGGCTGTATTACTTGTGCTAAAAGGACTTCTTATCCAGTCATATTTTTCTACCTTCAGAGATGGAAAATACCTGGCAATTGTCTCCTCTAATAGTGATAAGTGTTCTGTAACTATATGCGTGATTTCTTGTTCTTTATCTTCATCACCTTCATTCTGAAGCAGTGGAAACATATTAATTTTATTTGTCTCTAAAATGCGCTTCTTCCAAAATGACAATTGAAAGCTTTCTGAAAAGCTGACAGCTTGTCCGTGGATGTTAAAATATTTTTATTTTTGCCTTGCATACTTGAGTTAACGCCATTTAAATAATTAAAAATATCGGCCAAATATGCCACTTTAGTGCACCATGCATCATTTTCAAAATATGTGGTAAATGTGTCATTACCTTCTTCTTGGAAAAAAGTTAACAGCTCCGTTCTACGGTCATAAATTCGACATAATACTTTGCCCCTTGACAACCATCTAACTTCGGTGTGCAGCAACAAACATTCATACTTTGATTCCATTGAGATGCAGAATTGTTTAAAAAGACGGGTTTTTAGTGGTCTTGATTTGATGTAATTCACGACATTAACCACTTGGTCTAATACAGATTTCAAAGTAGCTGGTAGCGTTTTTGAAATTAGAGATTCTCTATGCAAGAAACAGTGCGTAGATATGATATTTTCATTTCGCTTTTTTGCAAGGGTACAAAAACCTTTTATGGAGCCTACCATCGAAGGGGCACCATCCGTACAAATTCCTACGCAAAAGTCCCATGATATATTTTTTTTCTCTAAATATGACGTTATGGAATCAAATACATCCTGACCTGTTGTACGTGCTGTAAGTTCTCTGCAGCATAAAAACTGATTGACTATTTCACCTTCGTCGACAAATCGAATAAATCCTAATAAATGAGCTTTGCCACTAATATCAGTGGATTAGTCCACCTGCAATGCGAAGTTTTTTTTGTAAAGTTTATTTGTAACTTTTTCCTCAATATCTGCAGATAAATCAACAATCCTCCTTATTGTATCATCCGACATAGGAATTTTCCGTATTTCGTTTTGTGCATCGTTGCCAAACATAATTTTGACCATTTCACAACATGCTGGTAATATAAGAGATTCTGCAACAGTGTGTGGTTTCTGTTTCAAAGCAATTAATTCGGCGACCTTATATGAAGCTATTAGTGCTTTGTCGGAAATTGTTAGCGACCTTTCAAATTGTTTCGCTTGTTTAGCTTGTGTCTCCAAAAGTCCCTTGAAATAATCTTTATTTTTTGAAGCTACACTAGCGTGTTTGGTAGTAAAATGGCGTTTTAATTTAGCCGGAGCCATTGCGCTATTAGCGAGTGTCTGCCCACAAACAATACACTTGGGAATTGGACAGTCTTCTTCCCCAGTCCAAATGAAGCCATAATCCAAATATTGCCGGTTCAACATTTTTTTGCTGCGCTTCGATTTGTCATCAACCCCACTTCGTAAAGTTCCAGTATCTCCGCTGGTGCTCGCTTCATCATCATTAATTATGAGTTGTTCCACAGTAGTTTTTCTTTTAAGTTTGAGGAACTTATCCATTTTAATTTATTCGTCTCTAAACAAAATAATGCGGATGAATGCTTCACATTTTGTATAAAATATGCAATTACTTACCTTTGATAGATAAGCCGTACGTAAACGTTATCATAAAAAAACTGACACAGCGATTTTTACGTATTACGTTTGTGCAATGTAACAAATTCAACATTCAGTTGCAGAATGTGCCGTGGGTGACTCAGATTGGCTGTGGCCACTGCAGAAGTGCAGAGCTCAGCGCTTATAAAATCCAACGTGTGCACTGTGCCGACGCGGTGTTGTCACGTTGGGCAAATGAACATTTACGCTGCAGAATTTTATTAAATTAAAATGTACGTAAGTGGCTATTTTAAAATTTAAAAATATTTATTTGAAAAGAGTAATTTAGCAAAATGGCATGTTTTTCGCGGAACACTTGGAAGGAATTCGCGGAACACCGGTTGAGAACCACTGGTCTAGACGAATGCACTGACGCCTCCGCCAAAATATAGACTGTCAAAATTCGTTATACAACCAGGAATACATTACGTCGATGACTCCTTCACCAAATTTTTAAAAATTCCTTATTTTTATCTGCTTGCTAGAAGCTCTAGGTAAATACTTTAAACGCACCTCCTCTCTAGAGACACTATTTTACCAATAAATCAAATCAGAATGCAACGTCTCCCCATTAAATATCTTTAAAGTATCTGCAGCGAAACTTGCTCCATCATCCCTACTACAAATCGTTTTGAAATAAAAATAACTAAAAGTTTTTTAAAATAATATATTTTTAAAACTCAACAATAATTATAAATAAATTCCCACTGGTCCACTTAAAATATTAAATGTATAAAATTGTTACGTTTGACGTAATATCTATGTCATTTTTCATCAATTTGTAAAAATATTTAAAAAAATATATTTTTCTGTATCACATGTGACTTATAGTTTACTCTTCGCACTATTGTTTTCGGCGTAGTTTACAACCTCTTTCCACCATGGTGGTCTATTCATGTTGTATTCATCCTTGGTCATCGATTCTTTGAGACGTTTGTATACCTGAAAAAAAAACGAAATAGAAACATTAAGAGGTCGTTAAAACTTGATGTTATAAATAAGTTAATTTTTTTGTGTTGTGAAACTTTTCCTATGATTCAGATACCGATATCCAGATTCGCCGTGGGGTCCGCCAAGGGTGTATTTTATCACCCTTGTTATTCAATTTATACAGTGAAACCATCTCAGAATTAGCGCTTGCCGAGATCAGTGAGGGCCTTATAATAAACGGTGAGCCACTTAATAACATAAGATATGCTGACGACACCGTCCTTCTGGCAGGAACACTAGAAGAACTGCAACACCTTGCTGAACCAGTAAATATACATTGAAACGATTATGGACTAAAAATCAATTTGAAGAAAACCAGGTTCATGGTATTTACAAAAGCACAAAACATCAAAGTTAAGCTAGCACTAGATAATACAGAAATTGAACAAATATCTTCGTACAAATACCTTGGAGCATGGATCACAGAAGATACTGATCAGACAAAAGAAATAAGATGCCGCATTGAAATTGCGCGGTCAACTTTTAATAGAATGAGAAAACTTTTTTGTAATCGCGATATCAATATATCGCTCCGGATAAGAATGCCTAAATGTTATATTTTCTCTACCCTTTTGTATGGAGTTGAAGCTTGGACACTTAAAAAATCCAACATTAAAAACCTAGAAGCATTCGAAATGTGGTGTTAACGACGCATTTTGAAAATATCATGGATGGATCGCAAAACAAACGAACAAGTTCTCGAACAACTAGGAAAACAATGCGAAGTTTTAAATTCCATAAAAATCAGGAAATTGGAATACTTGGGGAACATCATGAGAGGTGAAAAGTATGAACTACTAAGGAATATAATGCAGGATAAAATCAAAGGTAGAAGAAGCGTAGGAAGACGTAAAATCTCGTGGCTAAGCAATCTCCGTGAATGGTCTGGATGCAGTTCAATTGAACTATTCAGACGAGTAACCAATAAAATTATAATTGCCAGAATGATTTCCAATCTCCGATAGGAGTGGAACTTGAAGAAGAAGATTAATCATGGAAAGCGGAGGCCAAAATGGTGTAGGTATTGTAACGATGTTCTGATCGTTTAACAGTTCGAACCGTAAGAGTGTCGACATTCGCGCATCCACTTCTACGGCGAGACGACGAAGTGGGATTCGGAGCGGCTATTAAAGTTGAGTGACTGGCGGAATTAGATAGTCTTGTATCTAGCGCTCTAGGCTCCCTGATTCGCTGGTGTAGTGAACCTGCGAGCCAATCCGGACAGAAAGATTTCCGTGGAAATTTCTTCACCAACCTCTTAATCTCTTTCTTGTCTCTTTATGTCAAGACCAATCTCTTTATGTCCCTCTAAATATGGCAGTGTCTTAACAAATGACTTTTTAACACTTCCAGTCTCCACAAATGTCATTTATATCTTCAAATGTCCTTCCTCCTCTTCAACTATCTTTATTTTTTTACAAACGTCTGTCTTTTTCTGCCGAAATTATGACTACCTTTTCCTTAATTTTTGTTTTCCTCTTAAAATGCCTTTCTTTATCTCTCCAAATAATTTTATTGTTATACAAATGTCCTCTTCCTCTAAATCCGTTATTCTTTCTACAAACATCTTCCTCACTTTGTTTCGGGAAAAAAGAAACATCTATCTCCCAAAATTGCTCCATTCTCCTCATTCCCCAATTCCTCTGGCAAATTATTAGGGTTTACAGGTTTTGGCCTGCATGCATATTATAATTTAAGTGAAATTACTAAAAATCTGTATGAACAAAAATACAGTGCTTAAAAAACTAATGCAGAATCAAATCATACAAGAAAAAGTAAGATACATCAAAATTTTATGACCCGTCGGTGTCTAGACAAATGTAAGTTCGCCTCCGCCAAAATTTAGACTGTCAAACATTAGTTATGCAAACTCGATGGCCCCTTCACCAAACTTATAAAAATTTCTGATTTTGGTGTATATTATAAAATATGATTTTAAGTAAATTTTTTGATATTTAAAATTATTTTGGTGGGAATAACTCCAAAACTTTCGAATAACTTACTTGTCCGTCCGAAGAACCCAAACACGATCTCAATATAAAGTCCGGCACTGCAATGGCGTCTACCAGACCTACAGCATCGTCTTTGAGATCGGCACATAATTTTAAAATCGCGTCTTGGATTAAAGTCGGTGCTAAGGCACTTGAAGCGAATCCTCCTTTAAATAGAGTCGCCATGTGCCATTTTTCTATAGACCACAATCCAAAAAGTGACAAGATTTTTGTGAGAACAGCCTTTATAGCATGATTTTCGGCTTCGGAGATGGTTACCAACATTCTTTGCAAGAAGAAATGCTAAAAAAGATGTATAATTAGAATAAAAGTTAATAATTAAACAATATGTCATTTTTTTGCGCTTTCAAGTGCGCATGTGACTTAAGTTCATTTAAAAAACATTCTGTATATAACATTAATAACAGTATATAATATTATTTCATAATAAAATATGTCTAATGGGATTTATTCAGTATAAAAGTGTGAAAATATTGTAAAGCATGGAAAACAAAAAATTGATCATAACTGTTATTAATCATAATTGATCATAAAAGGTCCCATGCACAAAATCTTCACACATGTCTACATCTATTGAAAATATTCAATAGTACGTAGAAAATGCCACCGACTATTGAGAACTATTTCAAAATTGAACAGGAAAACTAACCTGAATAAATGCTATTCCTAAACTTTTTCCGTAGTACACTTGACTGTTATTTTTGGCCTCGAACAAGTCCTTTCCAGCCTTCAATTCTTCTCCTACTTTGTCGTGAGTAGCTTTCAATAGATATACAACTATCCACTGGAATGTTTTGATAATACCTACAATTAATAAAAATTTTATTGGTGTAACTGTAGTTAGAGATCATCTGTTTTTCATTTAAACACACTATGACGAGTTTCACTGTACTTACAGACAGTGGTAGGCCGAAAATGAACTCGAAGACAACAGAGTTGGTAAAAAACTCTGACAAGGACACATAAATGGATCAAAAACTAAATGTAAATTTGATACAGGCAAAATATTAACAAAAATAGCCAAACACATAAAAAAGAAAGGAATAACACCAGCTTTCCGAACAAATAACAACCTAGGCAAATATATCAAAAATACAAACTTGTGGCGACTGCCCAAAAACTTACATCGGTCAAACTAGTAGAAACTTTAATAAACGAATAGCAGAACATAAAAGGGCTTTCAAGAATAGAAAAACAGATTCTACATACGCACTTCACCTTCTAGATCACAATCATACTTTTAATGATGAATTTAAAATTCTTCACATTCAAAATACAGGTCTTAAGCTATCCTTGTTAGAAACTATAGAAATCAACAAATTAAAAAACACAGATATAATTCTGAATGACCAACTTGAGACAAACAGTTCTTTCCTCCTCAACCTATTTCATAGATCAACAATAGATCACTTGAGAAAGGCAATCAGTCGAAACAGCTGTAGTGATAAGAGGTTAAAATAAATTTTGTGGAAGTTTGAAAACAAAGTTTTCAGTGTTTTATTGTTATAGTCAACAAGAAGCCTAATATGCCTAACTATGCTAACTTATAAATAAACTATACAAAAACTTACTTTCTGGATGACTGATTTCATCGGTTCCTCTGGCAGTGAATCTACTATTCTTCAAAATGTTCAAACCGTTCGATAGGAAATCAACTGACTGCAAAGGAGTAGATATTTGTCTACCTTCAATCATTTGTGGGGCTATTTTAAGAAGCCAATTAACGGTCTGTTGAATCAACACGTGATTTTCTCCTTCGTACGTCAAATTGGGATCAAGTTCATTCCTAACATCGCCCAAACCAGCCGCTAAAAGAAACATTCTTCATTATTACACAAAATTATTGTGCAAACTAGTAAAAGAATTGACTCACTGTAGAAATACTGATAATCACAATAAAAAAGCAGACATAGTAGTGAAAATGTATTTCTACACTGTAAGTTGCTCAACTACAGTACATTCAACCAACTTACACCTCCAGTGCAGTTTACCGAGCCTTTTACTACAAGGAAAGGTTTTCTGCGTATTCCAGTAATCGTTGAAAGGTGTAAGTTGGTTGAATGTACTCTAGGATATCTATATAATGTTTTTTGTATTACTTTAATGACAATCGATGAGGCGCCATTTTGTAAAAGTTTTTTAAATCTTTTTAATAATTTTAATCATTTTAATAAGCATTGGAAATGTGAATTCATAGACAGATGCTGAAGATACCTTGGACGGCAAGACAAACTAATGAGGAAGTACTAGGGAGGGTCAACAAAGAAGGACAATTGCTAATAAGTGTTAAACACCGCAAAATGTCTTACCTGGGATATATAGTAAGGGAAGTAGTGAGGAGGTTGTAGTAGAGTAGAGTTGTAGTACGAAAACAGGTTTCGTGGTTAAAAAACATTCGATAATGAATTCAGATATCAAATACACGGCAATTATTCCAATGCTACTTTCAAGAATGCAAAATTCGTATGAAACGTTGTAGAAATAGGTGAGTAGAGTACATTGAAGGAAATAGGCAGCAAGAAGAGTCCAAAATAGATCATTCTAATAAATTTTCATAGCTTCTCGCTTCTCACAACGCTTCTCAAGGGCGTGTCGGAGCAAAATAAAGAATCGCAACGTATGAGAACTTGTTGAATAGAAGATGTCACGTTCTATGTCAAATGTCACATTTTACGTCACGTTCCGTGTCAGACGTCATATTTTTCGCGAGCCGCTAACTCGTCGCAGATTCTGTACTGACTTGACATTAATATGTAGCCTAAAGGTCAATTCAGACACATCAGTCACGTCTCGTCACAGTGATTGCGCCGAATCGGACAATCCGTCATACAAAATATTCTTTAATACAAATATGTTGCCGGCATTCACACTCATCAGTTGACAAACAGTTTCCCAGCTGTCAGATAGTTGATAGTTCTGTGACCAAATAGGACCGGTTCGGTACCGTGACTGTGACGTGACTGATGTGTCTGAATCGACCTTAAAAAACCAAACATTTGACACTTAACGTGAAATCTGACGTGGTACGTGATATTTCACGGAAGATCCGACTAAAACATTACTGAAAAGGGTAACACTCGTTTCTAACGACACCCCATACGTTGAAATCCTATATATCGTTCAAGGATTAACTTGAAAAGAATAGAAAATGACTAGAAGATACCTTAGAATTTTTTATGGAGATTGACATGAGAAAATAGCTCATTTTGGTTTCGTTCTTAAGACCAGGTTAGTTGAACATATAAATACTATCCGTATGAGCTTGCACATCAACATTATTTGGTTAATATTTGTGATATATATTTAACTAATAGAACTTTTCAAGTTTCAGCTGACCAAAAGATGTCGGTGATCCAAGAAATTCAAGAAGGATGCCTAGGGCAGTATTCTTTCCATTTTATATAAAATATTTGTTTCAGATTTACCAACACGTCCAAAAATATCTACAGCCCTCTACGCGAATGATAAGGCAGTGTATGCAACAGGAAAGAACGACAGAAGAATAGTCCGAAACATAGAAAATCACCTCGGAAAAATCACGGAATACACCGAAAAATGGAAGATCAAAATCAGGACAGAGAAGATACAATTCATCATGTTCACTCAGGCGACGAGTTCACCAGTACAAGAAATCACAGTAAGGGGAAACATGATCCATTTAGGAGAACAAGTACTTAGGAGTCCATCTCGACAGAAAGATACACAAAAAACCAAGGTAAAAGCTAATGCTAAAAAACTAATACTTCCTTATAGTTTTAAGTCCAGTCGTCTAACGAAGGCCAAGAAGATTCAAATATACCAAGCCTGCGCTAGATCGGTACTACTGTACGCTGTCCCAGTTTGGAGTTCCATTGCGGAGTACAACTGGAGGAAGCAACAGAAACATCATGCTATAGGATAATCGATGGATCAACATGGGAAGAAAGAATATCAAATGCAACACTCAAAGAAAGGCTCCAGTATACACCACTGTGGGAGGTGGCTGAGAAAAGGACCAAATACTTCTTCCACCAAACCACAAGGAGACTAATAAACAAAATCGGACCCAGACGATGTTTAGTCAAACTCACAGACTGATCGACCATCTCATCAGGGTCTAACTAGGTGGTTGCTGAAGACAACCAATCAGGAAAGTAGATACAATGCCAAAAATAAGTACCTACAGAAGAAGAAGCCAAGGAGTCCATGACAGAAGAATTCAAGATCCGAAAGGAAGAAAATCAACATCAAGCGGCGCAACAGCGGGAAGTCAAGAAGAAAAGAAGGCCAATACATCTTAAGTTAGTATTAAGTGTGAAATGTATATATTATTAGGGCAATAAATGTTTTTATTTTTATTTGATTGCATATCAGCTTTACTTTAGATTTCACACTAGAAAGAGTTTTAATTCGAACTGAGTGATAAAACTGTCTTCACAAAGAAGAAAATCCGAACATTCGGCACGTCAAATTTCATTTAAGCTTCGCAAATAATTATTAGATTTAACTTGTAAGATATATATGTTAAATTAAGTAAATGTCTAATTTACCATGAAGATACCCGTGTCCACCGCAGCACTCCCTGCATTCCTGTACGGCGTCCTTCATTATCCAGCCAGCCATAGGTTTTGCCGCTGAAGAAACACCGTGAATTTCGATTCCCATCTCAGGTGCATTCGGCAAGGAGGTGCCCAAAATGTTGTTCATGGTGAATTCATAGAACCTTTCTGAGAAATACGTATTGAAGTTTCTTAGTACATATGCCGCTGCTAAGTAGGGTATCAGCCGAAGTTGCTACAGAAAAAGAAAGCTTATTAGATCATGAAACAAAAGGGGAGAGTTTTTACTTTCTTGATAATAAAGACAAATATTTTATGCACAGACTCTTGGCATAAAACACAAGAACACGTTGAAAAGTTGTTAAAAAGATTATGTTCAGTTTGTCATTTTTCGTTTAAGGTTGTATACAGGGTGGTGAATCGTCAAACGGGCCATAGGAAACTCAATGGGAAATTCTAAATTGTTGAATTCCTGCTTCCCTAATTATTTTACACCAAAAGTCATGGGAAACTATTTGTAGAGGACTCAAATATGTATCGAAAACAATTGTTAAAATTGTTCTACGACTTAAACGTATTCCAAAATTTTGCTAAAATATAATACATTTTTCAGGCCACCCCTAAAAGTCAGGCCAGACGTCGTGAAAAAAATGTGTATTACGTGTTGCGTTTTGTCATATTGACGTTTCTAATATTTGACAATATTTAAATCAACTATATTATATTTATCTATGATTTAAATGGCCAATATTTTTATTTTGTGATTTATTGTTTAAAAAAATATTAAGTTGATTAAAAAATGTACTCAGTTAAGGAGAAAAGAGCAATAATAAAAATGTTTTATTCATGTTTTATTATAACATTTGTTATAGTTTTATGTTTAGAAATTATCATAAATTATTTTTAGGAATAAAGATCACAGTAACAGTATATTGGAATTCATTGAATTGTTGTATAACTTAACTTAACATGGAATTAAATTTTAGTGTATTAGAATATCTTACGTTAAATAAAGATCCGGTAGTGACAGGAAAAGGTTCGCGCTATTGCCTGAATACAACATTATGCGATTTTTCGTCAACTGAGTACATTTCATTATATTGATCGATTTGTAAACAATATAATTTATTGTTCACAAAGTAATATTGTTCAGTAGTAGTAGTATTTAGTAAAATTCATTGTTTATAATTTAATCATAAAACAAAAAAATTGACAATTCAAATTGTCAAACATCTGACATCAATATGATAAAACACACACGTTATATATTCTTGTATTACGTGTGGCCTAACTTTTAGGGGTGGTCTGAAAAATCTATTATATTTTTGCAAAATTTTGAAGTACATTTGATTCGTAGAACGGTTTTAACATTTGTTTTTAATTCAGATTTTAGTCCTCTACAAATAGTTTTTATGACTTTTGATCTAAAATAATTAGGGAAGCAGCAATTCAACAATTTAAAATTTCCCACTGAGTTTCCTATGGCCCGTTTGACGATTCACCACCCGGTAATACCAAAGCCTAATGTACCTTTGATAAGAGTGTTATTTCGTATGGTGTCAGAAGATGAAAGAATTGTGAAAATATGTGGATCAATTGTTCGCAAGAAACAAAAAGAAAGCTACTTACATGACTTTGATATTCTAAAATTGGCATCTCTTCTTTTCCATTTGGTCCAAACTGTTTCCTTACTGCTGCATACCGGATCGCTATAGTAAGAGCTTTTGCACCCAAAGCGTCAACCATAGCAGCAATATTTACTCTTCCCGCTGACAGAGATCCTAATGCAGCCCCGTGTCTTCTATTCGGGTCTTTGATCGGAGTTATGTACCGACCATCTTCAGACACGTCTGCTATTTTATTGAGTAGGTTAACCCTTGGAATTTCGTAGTTGGTAAATTGAACAAACCTGAAATAAGGATTTTAATAAATAATTTTAGGAGAGAAAGTTTTTTACTAAACGCTTACCCATTATCGATACCGTTCAAACCGATCTTTCCTCCCATATCTCCAATCTCTAATCCTGGAAACGGTAGCAGCGTCTTGGGATCACGGAACGGTACTACAAATGCGTGCAAACCGTAATTGACATTGTCTAAAATTAATTGTGCGTAAACAGTTCCAAACATGGCGGTCTGGCCCAATCCACCAGCCCAGCATTTAGCTGCTTCAAAATCGGGTGAGTTGAGCACAAAAAACTTGCTTCTTTTTGTCGTAAGTGGCTGTTGTGCGCATGCCTCTTGTGTTACTTCCATGCGCGATTTCAGTCAAACAGTAACAACCGAAAATCTAAAAAATTTCAATTAGTTTATTTTGATACGATTTATCACTAAAACTTCTAGATTTTACTATGATACAAGACAATACATGGTTTTGAAACTATTTTCTTGTAGAATTTCTTTGTTATATACTAAATTTAACGGGTATAAATCAAAATTTTAAGTGATAATACGATAATAGACGAATATGACGTTGAAAACGGGAAAAAATAAAATAATATATGAGGGGTTCCATTCCAAAACTTGCTTGTCCACTTTAAGTTGATTATTATTTGACAATTCGCGAAAAACGTTATACCCTGCTCCAAAAAATTAACGCACCACTGTAAAACTTACCATATAACAGGAAAATATTAACTGAATTAAAAATCATTTTATTTCGTATTACTTTACTTTGTAAAAGAAACATACTTAGTGATGTCGCTAACCATCTTTAATGTTCATAAACTTAACACAATCTTAAAACAATTAACAACAAAATCTCTAATTCTAAAAATAGAAATTGTTCAATTTTTTTTTGCTTAATATGACATATTTCCACCCCTGCTACGAATGACAACTTGGCATCGACGATTCATACTTAAAATAAACAGTCTTAAAGTATTCTGATCCAGTTTACTTCAAATTTGGACAAGACGTTGTTCCAGTTCCTGCAGAGTGTTTGGTTGATTAGGAAAATTCCGTAGAAGTCTACCAAGCAACTCCCAAACATTCTCTATAGGATTGAGATCGACACGTCGTGCATTATTTTGCATCGCACTAGAAAGAGCCATAGAGAAATCGGGCATAACAACCAGAGGTACGATCATCAAGAGAAGTGTACAGATATTAGCCTACGCAGATGACATTGACATAGTAAAACGGACAAAAAGAGATCTGATACAGGCTTTTGAAACATTAGAAAAAGCCGCGAAGACAATGGGACTGCAGGTCAACGTATCCAAAATAAAATACATGAAGGTCACGAACAGCACACAAATAGCGGCACCACAAGATCTGGTGACAAAAGCACACACATTCGAAGGGGTCTCGGAGTTTATATATCTTGGAACACAACTAAATAACAGCAACCTAGTAAGCGTAGAAATAAGAATAAACCTGGCGAACAGAGCTTACTTTGGACTAAAGCAGTTCTTCACATCACACATAATTAGCAGAAACACCGATACTAATATATGAAACTCTTATTAAACCTGTTAAAACGAAGAACTGTAAGGCCGCTTTGAAAGAAGAATACTTAGACACATATACGGAGGAGTACAAGAAAGCGGGATATGGCGCAGTCGCTACAATTTTGAGTTGTATCAATGCTATGAAAAATGCAACATCGGCCGGTCTATTCAAATTAATAGACTAAGGTTTTCTAGGACACCTTGAAAGAATGGACACTGGAGACCCCCAAAGACAGATATTATATCAAGAGCCAGTAGGAACCAGGAAGAGAGGCAGGCCAGGACCTAGATTTAAAACTCAAGTCGAAGATGGCTGAGGAATCTTGGGGTCAGAAATTGAAAAGCCAGAGTAAAAGATAGGGGGAATGGAGACTAATTCTTGAACAGACCAAGGACCAGCCAAGGTTGTAGAGCCAAAGATGATGATGATGAGAAGAAGTATCAGCAGACCACGCAAGAGATGGAGTGACAATCTTCCATAGAGCCAACATCCGCCAATGAACAAGCCAAACTGCTTATATAAGGGAGGCAGAAGAAACTCAAGATTAATATACGTATAATTACAACTAAAAAAGATAATTAACGGAATACAAATTTATTCATCAGCGCAAGGAAGAAATGAAGAAAAGTCTCCAATTTTTTGGGCAAATGCAAATTAATATTATCTAAAATATGAGTATAATAATTGAACAGCCAACTAATTTTATCAGGCATATTTAAAAGTTTCACATAGTATAAAAACACACTATAATTAATTTAGCAAACAATTAAAACACTACAACCATTTAAATACTGTTAATTGATGTTATTCAGTAATTATTTTGATCGTTAGTATTTACAAAAACATTTACCATCAACATTAAAAGGTTATTTTTGAAAGCACTGTTACGTCACGTGCTCTTTATTATCGACTCTTTTAGCCGCCTTGTAGCATAATTATATGGCCCAAATTACATAATTAAATTAAAGAAAGCTCTTAAGTTTTGAGCAAAATTACTTTCGTCACCAAAACATCAAACTCGCGTAAGAAAAACTTCAACTTGGTAACAAACTTTATAATGATGTAATTAGTAATTAGTCATTATTTGCATATTTTGTCAAAGTACCTGTTGGCTTTGTATTTAAATTTAATGATGAAAATTTTCTAAGAAGTCAAAAGTCTATTGGTCAAACTCAAGAAACAGAAAAAATTAAAAACGAAACGATGGACACCATAGAAATGGTAAAGATGTTCGATTGGAAATAACTTATATTATATTTAGTTCAATGTCAAGACGTGATTTTATAAAGCAAATTAATAAGTGTATTTAAAAAAAAAATTATGTGTATTTACACGTACTTGACCTTATAAAATCAGCGTGAATTATTCAGTTAAGCGACTTAATTATCTATCTATATAACAGGCTATAATGACAAGTCACACCAGTTTGTCCAATAAACTAACGACGACATTTAGGAAAGAAATCTGAACTACCACAATTTGACATTTCAATCATTAATTAATAATACTGTATTAATTACATATTAATATAAATATTAATTAATTTTAATAATATTTTTAAGGTAGAATTTATTACAAAATACACTACTCAACAATTGAAGTGGATAATTTTAAAATTCCTAAAATTAACATATAAAACTATTTTTAAAATAATTTCCTGTACTACACTCTATATGCTATCTTTATTGCCCAATATTTTTTGCATGTGGTATTTTTTCTCCCTATTCTTATCGGCCCTTTATTCCGTATTAAAGAGAGAATTGTTGTTTCCAAACATGAATATATCATTCGTATAAAAGTGCTTGTATTGGCTTTACCAGTTGTTAATAAGTCAAGAAATCTATTTATAATCTATATTTATATCTATCTTATTTATATCTATTTTATCACAAAAACATTATGCCACAAAGACGTTTAGAACTAGTACAGCTCGAGCAATTGGTTCGTTGCATCCAACAAGGCATAACTCAAAAACAGGCTATGATGCTAAATGTGTTGCAAGTGTGATAAGTCGTGCATGGAATCGGTATGTAGCAACTGGATCTTCAACATACAGACATGGAGGAGAAAGAGAAACGATCTACAAACTCGTCGCCAAGACCGTTTTTGTAGTTCTGACGGCAAGAAGAAACCCAACATTCACGGCTTTCAGAATTAACAAGTATCTTCAGGAATGCTACTGGACGAGCGATTTCAGTCAAACTTTCAGAAGACGGTTACATTGCATCCAATTTAAGGGCTAGACGGCGCACTACCCAATCCACGCACGAAACTAGGGAGCAGCGTGCATGAAGATATCCTTGGGCGATAGATCACTATCAGTAAAATTTCGAAAATTGAAGGAATTGTCTCTTTACTGACGAGTACCAGATTTCGTTTGTATACGAATGATGGGACGAATATTGGTGTGGAGGGGAAAGAGGACAGCGTTACAATGAAAATCTAGAGTCCCCAACACTCTTTTTGGAGGTGGATCCGTTTGCGTGTGGGGGAGACATATGTTTTGACGGTCGCACGGACTTTAGTCGTCTTAATTAATGAGACAATGACTGCTACACGATATCGAGACAGAGTCATAGTACCAATAGTTGTTCCATTTTTTAATGCATTAGGCGAAACAATTTGTTCTGATTGATGATAATGCTTGCCCTCACCGTGCGAGAATTGTCAACGAGTGTATAGAAGCTACATTGTATTACAAGAATGGAGTGGCCACCATGTTCACCTGATATGAATTGCATTGAACAATATTTGGGCCGAAATGTCTAGCCAACAAAACAGGCTCCTTCAACCGCCTCAAACTTAGATCAGTGGGCCAATACATTACGCGCGATTTGGGAATGTATACCGCAGCAGTTCATCAATAATTTAATAAGAGGTCTTCCAAATAGAGCTAGAGTACTAAGGCGACACAGAGGTGAACCCATACACTATTAATTTTTCTTTTCGGGATATTAGAAATTGAGCAGGAATAGAAATTTTAGGTTGTTAATTTTACAATTTTTGTTTATTTTCTATTTTTTTTCTTAAAGAATTTCTTTCTTTCGGTTCATCTGTAGGAAAATACGAAGTAAAATAAATCTTTATTTATATCACTCCATTTTTCTATTTGACCTTATGAACAAAAAATAAAATACACATTTTGTTAAGAAGTGTAATTAAAAACTTTATGTTAGTTTAGATTTAAAATCCTAACGCCATCTGAACAAAGAAATCTGAACTACTGTATTTCAACTTATGAGTCAATATTTTGTTTTTGAATACAAACAAATAAATAATAAAAATTGTGTTTATTGTGGTTATTGTAGTTCATTATTATGTTGTAGGTTATCGCGAAATCAAAAATGTATCCTAACTATTATTGTTTGGTGTAGGTTAGAAGTATGGATACTAAAAGATTTAATGAAATCGGAGAGTATGATCAGTATGATGTTAAAAGTTTTATAAACATAGTGGAATAATATAGAATTTGATGCAGAATTGAACATTTTAATTTTTGTAATGATAAAGACTTTTTTAAACGGTTAAGATTAAGTAAACCGACAGTGATCTATATTCTGAGAAAATGTAAATAGTTATTAATAAATGATTATAAAAGTAGGTGTATCCATATTTTCATTTGCTTAGTTTAGGGATTCAATATTTTCACAATTTTGATAATTAAAAAATGGATTATTTAACATTTTTCAAGAGATATTGGTGCTATTAATTCAATAACAGTAAATGATTGTGGAAAATTACAATTGTGTTCTTAATTCAGTTTTTTTTAAGTTAGGTTCACGCTGGGAGCAGTTAATACGAATAGTGTTCTCAAGGTGAGCGTTTGTCAATCCTGAT